CTCATGAAAGAAAAAAGTGAGGTTTTCCCTATGTCTCAAAATTTTCATAAAATGATTTGTACCCAGTTTAGGGCAATTGTCAAAATCTTGTATTCTAATAATGGGGGTGAATACATCGATTCGGGTTTAGAGATATTTTTCCACTCATGGCATTATACATCAAACATCTTACACCAATACCCCTCAACAAAATGTGGTTACAGAACGCAAGAATCATCATCTTCTTGATATGGCTCGCTACATGTGTTTTTCTATGAGTGTGCCTCGGTCCTACTGGGGCAAGGCTGTTCTCACCGCAGCCTATCTCATTAATCATCTTCCTACCCAGGTTTTGCAAAAACAAGATCCACTTCAAGTCTTTCTTGGTTCAGAGTGTTTTCCATTCCCCTTAAAATATTTAGCTGTGTCTGTTTTGTCCACAATCATTCTCCCACTCGTGGTAAGTTGGACCATCATTCTCTCAAGTATGTTTTTCTCGGATACTCGCCTACTCAAAAGGGATACAAGTGTTATCACCATCCTTCTCGTAAGTGGTTTGTGTCCATGGATGTCGCCTTCTTTGAGTCCCAATCATACTTCTTGTCTTCTCCGGTGTCACAATCAGCTTTTCAGGGGGAGCCTTGGTGTGAAGAGATTCCTGTTATCCCTGTTGCTCCTATGGTGGAACCAATTGTTCATGCACCACCTATTACTGGGACCATAGAATCCAATGCCACCAAGGGCAAGGAATGGCAAGTTTATGTCAGGAACAAAGACAGATAAAAAGTTTCTTGGATACAAGAGACCACTTCTGCTTCTGATAAAAGTCCAGGTAACTTTGAACCTCTTGTTTCTCTTGAGTCTACTGATATTGCTATTCTTGACACTTCTGATCTTGATATTTCTATTGCCAAAAGAAAGGGTGTGAGATCTTGTACTCAACATCCTATCTCAAACCTTGTCCTACTCTCATTTGTCTTCCTCTTATAGAGCCTTTGTGTCAAACATTTCCTCTGTTAGTATTCCTAACCATTTTCAGAATGCTTTCGCTGCCTCTAAATGGAAAGTTCCCATGATTGAGAAAATGAAAGCACTTCGTAAGAATGGTATTAGGGAATCAACTGAGTTATCTAAGGGTAAACGATCGGTAGGATGCAAATGGGTGTATACTGTGAAGCACAAAACAGATGGTTCCATTGAGCATTACAAGGCTCAACTTGTGGCAAAAGGCTTCACTCAGACTTATGAAGTAGACTACCAGGAGAATTTTGCACCAGTGTGGCTAAGATGAATTTAGTTAGGATACTTCTCTCTCTAGCAACTAATTTAGATTGGTCACTTTATCAGTTTGATGTAAAGAATGCTTTCTTATATTGTGATCTAGAAGAAGAGGCATATATGGACATTCCTTCTGGTTTTGAGGATCATCAGACAGAGGGTAAAGTATGCAGGCTTCAGAAGTCGTTTTATGGTCTCAAACAGTCTCCAAAGGCTTGGTTGGAGAGATTCACTCAGGCTATGCTTAAATATGGTTTCAAATAAAGTCAGGCAGATCACACTTTGTTTGTGAAACATTCCTCATATGATAAGACCTACAGCTCTCATTGTTTATGTGGATGACATAGTGCTTAGAAGCGATAACAGTGAGGAAATACCCCTGTTGAAGAAATATTTAGCTAGTGAGTTTGAAATCAAAGACTTGGGGAACTTGAAGTATTTTCTAGGAATCGAAGTTGCTCACTCCAAGGATGGGATTTTAATCTCACAAAGGAAATATGTTCTTGACCTTTTGAAGGAAACAGGGATGCTTGGATGTAAGGCATGTGATACCCCATTGGAACCTAATAAGAAACTTGGCGATGATGAAGGAGGAGCAGCTGTTGATAAGGGGAGTTATTAGCGACTAGTGGGTAAGCTCATTTACTTATCTCACTTTCGTCCTGATATTGTTATTGTTGTCAGCATGGTTAGCCAGTTTATGCATACTCTTCATCAAATTTAGAGGTTGTTATGAGAATTCTAAAGTACTTGAAATCTTCTCCTGGAAAGGGCCTTTACTTTTCCAGACATGATCACCTCAGAGTGGAAGCCTATACAGATGCTGATTGGGTAGTGTCAATAACTGATAGGATATCTACTTGGAGGAGTAAGAAACAGAATGTGGTGGCTAGATTGAGTGCATAAGCTAAGTTTAGAGCTATTGCACAATATGTGTGTGAACTCTTGTGGATTAGACTGTTGTTGAGTGATCTGGGGATAGGCTAGACAGACTCTATGTGTCTATATTGTGATAATAAAGTTGCCATCACCATAGCTCACAATCTTATTCAACATGACAGGACAAAACATGTTGAGATTGATTGCCACTTCATCAAGGAGAAACTCACCAGCAACATGATATGTACTCCCTTTGTGAAGTCAAGTGACCAATTTGTAGACATCCTCACCAAGGGAGCTGGGAGTAAACCATTTCATGACATTCTAGGCAAGCTGGGCATGCAAGATATCTTCACACCAGCTTGAGGGAGAGTATTAGAATGCTTTCTTATTTCCTTATTTAGATTAGATTGTGATTGATTGATTGATTGTGATTCCTTAATCAGTCAATCAATCAATCAATATAAAAGGTGATTCCTTAATCAGTGCCTGAGGGCTTCCTTTTGTAATAGTTGATTGATTTATATAAAAGGTGATGATATCATAATCATCACCCAAGCTTTGTATCCTCTTAAATTACACCTCCTGGTTTTCGAGTTGAAGGGGAGTATTCGGGGAAAGTGTGTCGATTGCGCAAGTCTTTGTATGTCTTGAAACAGTCTTCACGAGTTTGGTTTGGTTCAGTTCTGCCATTATCTCCATAGGGTTTGTTCAGTGCCACTCAAACCATACTTGCTTCATCCATCATAATTTAGCCGGTCAGTGTATAGTCTTGTTGGTTTATGTGGATTATATTATTCTTACATGTGATGATTCTGTAGGCATTGACCAAGTAAAAAGGGATTTGGGACACACCTTTGATATTAAGGATTTGGGGAGTCTCACGTATTTTTTTGGGATTGAGGTGACTTGCTCACAGCAAGAGATTTCCTCATCTCAAAGAAAATACACTCTTGACCTACCTCAGGATATTGGTATGTTAGGGTGTAAACCTGCTTCTACTCCTATGGATCGCAATGTCAAGCTCATATCAGAGTCTAGCAATTTGCTAAACGACCCAGGCATGTATCAGCATCTTGTTGGGCATCTAATTTATTTGACTAACACTAGACCTGACTTCACATTTGCAGTCAGTGTTGTTAGTCAATTCGTGCATGCACCTCATACAGAACATCTTGACGTGGTTCATCACATTTTGAGATATATGAAGACCTCTCCTGGCTTGGGATTATTCTTTACAGTCGCTCCTCAATCTGGGCTCTCTTCTTTCACTGATGTTGACTATGTAGGATCTAGAATTGATCAATGTGCTACTTCTGGCTTTTGTACTTTCTATGGTGATCATCTTATATCATGGAAGAGTAAGAAGCAGACAGTTGTTTCTAGATCTTCTGTACAAGCTGAGTATCGAGCTATAACACAGAGAACATGTGAGGTTCTATGGCTTCATTCTATCCTAGCAAAGTTGGGTTTTGAGGAGATTGGTCCTGCCTCCTAGTTTTGTGAGAACGAGTCTGCTATTATGCTGTCCTCTGATTTTGTCCTTTATGAGCATACTAACTACTAAGCATATAGAGGTTGATATTCATTTCATTCGAGAAAATGTTCGCACTGGTATTGTGAGTCCATCCTTTGTCTCTTCCTCTCAGTAGTTAGCAGATATGTTCACAAAGTTTGCAGGACCAGCATTGCTTCAGTCATCCACTGGCAAGCTACGATTGTTGAATATCTTCACACCAACTTAGTGGGGAGTGTTGAATATAAATTAGAATATATAGAATCTTTTTATTTTTAGTATTATGTATATAATCTGTAATTGTGTCAATCATTGATTTGGTGCCTTGTTTATATCGTTTCTTAAATTGTATCATGATTCTATTATATATACATGGCCACTTCCTCATTCATTGGAAAGCCAAATCATTCTTTTCATCCTTTTAAAAGTTGATGAAAGGGTTGGAGTAGTTTATATCAAATCAAATTTTTTATTCAAATTTAGAATAAAATTAGATGAAAAAAAAGTAATGAAGGGTTGGAAATACTCTAAGAATCTTTAATTTCGATTGTGAAGTTAAATTAGTTAATTTGGGTTTTAATTTTTAAACCAATAAATGTCATAAGAGTTAAAATTTGACAAAATTTGGGGGCCCAAGGCGGCCGCCTTGCTTGCCTTGGGCTAGGGCTGGCCCTGCACTTCCATGCACAAATATATTACGTAGCATACTAGAATCCTTTTCATAGGATTTATGTGACAAATATGAACTGTGTGCAAAACTAATACCAGCCATGTCATAATTGTAGAACATTTTTATGTCCTTATGTACAAAAGATAAACAAAAGAATATCACAAGCAAAATATATATTAGCCTGAGGTGGCAGGATAATGCACAACCTAGCAAACTACCATTTCTTGTGTTTTCTATGTCATTATATTACCCTCTACTAAGATGCTATAGGCAGACAGCAGTTGCAACACCCACATATAGAAAAAGGTGATTGGGAGACTGCCAATCGGCAAACGATAGTTAATTTATCAAAAGTATCTAGGAAATTTCAATATTCTACAATTATAAGGTAAGAAATTGAAATTCTAGAAAGTGTCAAGATCTAGTGTCAAGGATTTAGTTTTTCCTGAACCACAGGAGAGGCATTCTACTCATCCCAAGGCTGATGTCAACTTGAACAATTTTTTAAAAGTGAGGACAAAATAATACTAGACATGTGACTTTTATGTTGAGAAAGTACCAATTACGCAAAGAGGAAAGCAAATGAGGCTAGTTCAAGAGAAATATAATAATTAAAAAAAATGTAGGGTATACTTGGAACTTATATTCTCTGCAACCCAGTTTATGGACAATGCATACCTGAGAAAAGAACTGGTGATTGTGGAATAATACTCAAAACTTTACGCAGATCCATCAACCCAAACTTTGCAACATCACAATCATCAATCAAGATTCTTCCTCCTTCCAGTTCTACAATCCGAAATAAAGCATTGACCAAGCTAGATTTCCCTGCCCCAGTCCTTCCTACTATGCCTACCTTCTTACATGGTGAGATAGTGAAGGACAATCCATGCAAGACAGGAGGAAGTTCAGGCCTGTAACGTAAGACAATATCTTTAAATTCAATCGATCCTAATGAAGGCCATCCAGGTGGTGGACGATGGCTCTCTATGATAGCTGGAGCCTCAGAAGGTAAATCTATATATGTGCCAACACGCTCAACAGCATTTAGACTATTTTCAGCCCTACTTGCTTGTCTTAAAACATTACTCAGTAGATTTGTGATGTTTAGAGAATAACTGAGAAGCAAACCCATCGTAGATGCGAATGCTAACTGGCTTTCTGCTTTTCCATTCTGCATGACGGCAAAGCTTGCGGTCAACCATATTATGATGCCTCCTAATGTTTCCAATCTTATGTAAAGCCAGCAGTTGGAACCTGTGTTGACAAGAGTGAATCTGATATTATTATCCATAGATTTTCCATTAATGTTGGCCATCCAGTCATATGCTTTGTAGGCCCGAATTGTTGACAAACCATTTAGTGCTTCCCCAAATTGTGCATAAACTGGAGATCTGGTAATGGAATCTAAGCGTTTTACTTCCCGGCTCGTGCTCTGGGAAACAGACATATATATTGTTTATAGTCAAGGGTTCAATTGACATAAAATGAGCAATGTGAGAAATATTTGATGATTTTCAATTTTGATATGACAAGCATGGTGAAGCTATGTAAATGTTTGATTTGCAAAAAATACACTATGAGGAATGGCTGAAGATGACAGATTTAAGATACTAGCCCCGTATTTTCTTATTTTATTTTGCCTTCCCTCACTACACATTTCCCATGGGGACCAAAGATGTACCTCCTATTTTGACGAGGATCAACCCCTAGTTTTTTTGTTCTAAAGTTGATATCCTAAAGGAAAAATAATGTGAACTGAGAAATTTTAATTGGATTATGTTTGTGTCTTAATTAGTTTTGGAAATCCTTTTTCTAGTAGGAAGTTTTAGGAAATCCCAAGTTCAATTGGAGAGTTTTTTAAGCTTCTACATATGCTAGCCTAGTATAGACACTTTTACTAGTTTTGGCTAAATGAAATTTCTAACTCCGACTGTGTCATCCTTAGTGCTTCATCTTTTACACAGCTGGTCCAAGCCTGGTTAAGGAGGTTTTGTGTTAGGTAGCCTTATTGTAACATGAATCCCAATATGAATATATGAGTAACGGCTAGGTCGTTTCCTGTAAGCGATGCTTTCTGCCTGCCTTCAGACATTTCAAAAAATGGACAAGGGGCGCAGCATCGCTGAAAAATAAGTTAGGTTCCCTGTTCTTTTTTGAATTAGTGCAGGTAAAGAAGTTAGCTCAGGATTGTAGGTTTAGGCTATCAACTTGGAAACCAACAAATCAAAAAATAAAACAGAAGAGAAAGAAAACCAACCTGATAATATAGATAGGCTGCATAAAACAAAATCAGAAGTGGCATTATGGCCCAGAGGGAGATTGTGCTCACTATGCCAATCAGCACAATAGTTGACAGAAGCTGCCAAACTTGGTTGAGAAATGAATTCATAAGACTGGCAACATTGCGATCTATATCACCCACATCCCTTGCAAATCTGTTGATTAACCGCCCAATTGGATTGGTATGGAAGAATACCATAGGAGCTCTGAGTACAGACTGTAGCATGGTATCATGTAATTTTCTAGCTGCGTTAAGGCTTGATGTAATCAACCAAAAGGAGTTTGTCAGTGTCACAATCACCTGAATACAGCACATGCAGAGTAAGAAACCTCATTTTCTGTTTTCAACTAACATAGCCAGTGCATAGGCATTGTTGTGCATAACATATATATATGTTGTGTGTGTGCAATATTCTTTCCTACTTGGTTTTAGTATTACCAACCAAGAACATAATATCTGGACAGATGATTAGAAACACATGAAATTATTGAGTTAAATAAGATAAACAATACAGAAAAGAAAATTGGGATAAGCAATTGCAGGAGGGTGAAGGTAAGTTGAAAGATGAAGTTGGCAAAATACCTGACCAAATGACATAAGTGCGTAAATCAGAATGAAGAAACCTGGTCCAAAACTGCTTCGACTGCTTTGTTTTGTCCAAACACTTAACCACGTGCTACTCAAGACTCGAAGAACTTCAGTTAAAATGTAGCACATAAACAGTATCATGACAACCCACAAACCTCCTAAAGCATCTTTATACCTGGAAGAGAAGCAATATAAACACATTAAGACATGGTATTTCCAAACAGGTTTAATTCAAGAGGCAACATTGGAAGAGACTTGTACAGCACAACTATTTGCCTCCTATGTATAGATAATATTCACCAATTAGCTGTAGAAATAGATGCAAGTAGTAGAAATTAGCACAAAGCAAGAAAGAAGAGGAAAAGAGAACTAATCCGATCGTCGGAGGACTTACCCAGCAAAAACAACTCGTCAGGGCTTCATTGTTTTCTTGTGTGCAGGTGTAGAGTCAAGAAGAGTTATCGGCCAACAAGGGAAAGCAAGAGCATAATTTTCGTCCCACCACAGTAACATTACCATAATGGCATTTAGAGGGATAAGGTAAGTGCTTACTGTTGAGTGAATAAAAGTATAGGCATATAAGTATGTATGTATGTATCGATCAGGAAGGAAGATAAGAAGAATGTTCTAAACTATATCTATCTCACAGTAAATTAAAGGGTAGTGACTTTTTTAATCTCCATCTCATGGATAAATAATAATGAATCTAGTTGAAAAAAGATTCCATAATTTCATTCAATTTTTTCTCATGCGCTTTTTTTGGAATGGCTTTGTGTAGTGTCAGTTTAACTGATCTACAAATTGCTTTTCAAAGAATCACTTATGATGTTTCATCGGTTGTTATGCAGCTGAGTAGATATGATTATGAAAATTGAGGCATGCCATGTGCATGCAATCAACACAAAACCAAGTTCCAACTTCATACTTCCGTCTATTTTCTTCAGCTGTTTTTCATTATACAGTGTGTTTTACCAATTTTGCCACCGCTGTAAATGCTAATCTCATTAGGACTAGTCTTCAGCTGCTATGACAATGCACATGCAGAAGACAAATAAAATCATATGGACTTCTTTATGTTGGCCTTGAAGAAAGTTGACCTAGAACATCTAATCTTAAGCAGTGTAAACTTAAAAATATCTATCTTTGTCTTAATTACAATCTGTGCATCCAAGAAGGTGACAAAGATAAATGTAGGATCTCTATTTGAGTGATTTAACCAAATATCAGTCAGAAGACTCAAATTTGTTCATTAAAAAACATGTTTCTAGATCATTTTGCTTAAGCAAAGAATTCCACTTTACATCTTCATTTCCTACTAGAAAGAAAAAAAAGAAGAAAATAAAAAGAAAAAGAAACATCCCTAATGATGTTGGATGCTTCACAATATTTTTTAAATGACTCATAAGTGTATAAACTATAATTAGAAAAATAAAATTGCTTCAGATTGGACATCTATGTCATAATGACTTTAATGTAACTTCCAACTTTTAGCTTTGAATACACAAAACAAGCAAAGAAGATGATTTCTATCAGGTTCACATGAACTGTTATTCTGTTAGAGCAACTCTGAAGAAATCCAGACAAAAATTAGAACTGTCACTTGGATTAGCAACACAAAGATTCAAAAGAATAGGACACGTTTTAAGTTGATCTCCTATATGAACCATCATTTTATTTTACTTCTACATTTTTTTAATCATGGTCCATGTTTTGGATGTATAACATGTTAGCATATTATATTAGCCGAAAGTGTTAGCATATTATATTAGCCAAAAGTTACACTAGGGTCTGTATGTCTGTAATCATTTTATGCCCTCAGGGATCATCTTGTAATTGCCTTTCTTGTAAACCCTAATCTTCATTTATAAATAGGGGGTGATATTCTATCATACCCTAAGCTGGTTACTCAAGCTTCATGGTATCAGAGCAGAACCTCTAGGGTTTCGGCTCACCCTCGTTGGTAGACCTTTACACCAACAACACTCTAGGGTTCGAAGCTTACCTGGGTGGATCATCACTCAGCCGTCAGCTCGTCTTCCTCAGTCGATCTCCTCGCCTTCCTCCGTCGATCGTCACTCAGCCGTCAGCTCCTCAGCTCGTCGATCTCCTCCAGCCATTCGTCGCTCGTCTTCCTCGCCCTCGTCGTCCTTCGTCTGCTCCTGATCTCACACCTGATCTCACACTTGGTATATATATAAATATATATATATATATATATCTTGATATATATATAACTATAGCCTGATATATATATATATATATTTATATATAAATATATGTAGTGTGAGATCAGGTGTGAGATCAGGAGCAGACGAAGGACGACGAGGGCGAGGAAGACGAGCGACGAATGGCTGGAGGAGATCGACGAGCTGAGGAGCTGACGGCTGAGTGACGATCGACGGAGGAAGGCGAGGAGATCGACTGAGGAAGACGAGCTGACGGCTGAGTGATGATCCACCCAGGTAAGCTTCGAACCCTAGAGTGTTGTTGGTGTAAAGGTCTACCAACGAGGGTGAGCCGAAACCCTAGAGGTTCTGCTCTGATACCATGAAGCTTGAGTAACCAGCTTAGGGTATGATAGAATATCACCCCCTATTTATAAATGAAGATTAGGGTTTACAAGAAAGGCAATTACAAGATGATCCCTGAGGGCATAAAATGATTACAGACCCTAGTGTAACTTTCGGCTAATATAATATGCTAACACTTTCGGCTAATATAATATGTTGATTATGAGTTGGCTTATCCATTCGATGGTTCCAGAACTTGGTGAGGGCTACTTGTCTATGGAGACTGCCCAGGACGTTTGGGAGGCTGTGGCTGTTACCTATTCCCGCAAAGGGAATTTTTCACAGGCATTTGAGTTGCGCCGCTCTATTGAGAGCTCACTTTAGGGGGAGCAGCCTGTTCTTCAGTACTTCACTTTCCTCACCAACGGCTGGAAACGCCTTGATCACCTGGAAGACTATAAGCCCGTTTGCCCTACTGGATGATGAAGGAGGAGAAAGTTCATCTCACGGGAACGGGTCTTTAAATTTTTGGCCGGCCTAAATGTGGAGTATGATCCAGTTAGGGGTCGAGTTCTGAGTATGGACACTCTTCCTTCACTTCAGGAGGCATTTGCCTATGTATAAAATGAGGAGAGTCGTCGGTCTGCTATGATGTTCCCTGTCTCTACTGACCGTTCCGCATTACTGTCTACTCCTCGAGATGGTCTCAGCCTGCCTCCTCCGTCTGCTGCGAAGGAGTCTGTATTCTGTGATTATTGCCAGAAGCTGAGGCATACTCGTGAGACGTATTGGAAGCTTCATGGGACTCCATCCGAGGGTCGAGGTGATCAGTCTGGTTCTCGAGGAGGTCGGCCAGGCCAATCTCGAGGACGTGGTTCCTATTCCCGGGCTCATCAGTCTAGTGCCGTTGATACCCTTGATTCTAATTCTACTTCTGTTACCCAAGCTTTTGATACTGAGCTGGAGGATGCTTTGCGGCAATTGTTGGACCGCCGATCTTCTACTGCTCTCAGTACCGCTTCCTCGTCCTTTGCCCGCTCAGGTAACTTAGCATCTTCTCCTTGTGCTTTCCTGTGTCATACATCTTTGCCTTGGATTATTGATTCTGGTGCCTCAGATCATATGTCTGGCTCCTCTGATCTTTTCTCTGTCTATAAGCCCTCTTCAGGTCAGGACAAAGTTAGGATTGCCGATGGTACTGTTTCTTCCATTTCTGGAAAAGGTTTAGTCCAAGTCACTCCTACCATACATCTATCCTCTGTTCTCCATGTTCCCAAGTTTTCCGTTAATCTGTTATCCTTAAGTCGTCTTACCCAGGATTTGAATTGTAGTGTGACGTTTTTTCCTGATCATTGTCTTTTTCAGGACCTTGTCACGGGGAGGACGATTGGCAGTGGTAGTGTAGAAAATGGTCTCTACTTCCTAGATCAACCGGACAAACTTACTTATTCTTCCACCACGTCTTCTACTACCCCCGCTGATTTATGGCTGTGGCATCGGCGTCTTGGGCATCCCTCATTTCATTTACTTAAGCATTTATTTCCTTCTAGTTTCGCAAATCATCATATGTCTGACTTTCTTTGTGAGTCTTGTCAACTTGGCAAACAACATAGAGCTTCTTTTGCTCCCAGTTTGAATAAAAGCTTCGTTCCTTTTTCATTAATACATTCTGATGTTTGGGGTCCCTCTCGTTTTCTGTCTGTAAAAGGTCATCGCTGATTTGTTACATTTATTGATGATTTTTCTCGTGCTACCTGGGTGTATCTCATGAAAGATAAGAGTGAAGTTTTCTCTGTGTTTCACACTTTTCATAAGATGATTTGTACTCAGTTTGGGGCCACTATCAAAATATTTCGTTCTGATAATGGCGGGGAATACATAGATTCTGGGTTAGGACAACATTTCTCTACTCATGGCATTATCCATCAGACCTTTTGCACCAATACCCCTCAACAAAATGGGGTGGCCGAACGCAAGAATCGGCATCTTCTTGACATGGCTCGGTGCATGTGTTTTTTTATGAATGTACCTCGACCCTATTGGGGCGACGCTGTTCTCACCGCTGCCCATCTTATTAATCGTCTCCCTACCCAGGCCTTGGACAAACAGGCTCCACTTCACGTCCTCCTCGGTTCTCCGTCCTTGTTTTCTATTCCTCCCAAAATATTTGGTTCTCTGTTTTGTCCATAATCATTCTCCCTCTCGTGGTAAGTTGGACCCTCGCTCCCTCAAATGTGTTTTCCTTGGTTACTCTCCTACTCAAAAGGGGTATAAATGTTACCACCCTTCTTCTCGTAAGTGGTTTGTGTCCATGGATGTCACTTTCTTTGAATCCCAGGACTTTGTTTTTGAAAAGCAGAGAGAAGATGGGGTATGTTGATGGCAGGATACAGGCACCTAGTACCACTGACTCAGGTTATGACCAATGGGAGATTACCAACTCTTTGATTATGAGTTGGCTTATCCATTCGATGGTTCCAGAACTTGGTGAGGGCTACTTATCTATGGAGACTGCCCAGGACATTTGGGAGGCTGTGGCTGTTACCTATTCCCGCAAAGGAAATTTTTCACAGGCATTTGAGTTGCGCCGCTCTATTGAGAGCTCACTTCACGGGACATAGATAGAAAACCAGTTAACTGGATACACGGGACCGTTTCTGCTACC